ATTTTTATGCACTCTGAGTTATAAAATGAATGAGATGTAACGCTATTAAGTGAACCTAGGGCCGAAGTGTTGCTATGGTAAATAAATATTGTGAAACTTTAAATAGTGCATTTACTCTATTGTGATTTATGCCCTATCGACGAAGTAGATTTAATTCAAAATTAGTTAACTGTTAATTCAATATGCTTAAATGAAATGTTGGAAAATTGCGTATAGTTTAATATTTTGTACAAGGAAGTCATGTGGTTTATACATCAGATTTTTTTATATTATATTAACACAAAGAAATGTCGTTTTTCTACCTTCTAGCAACGAATGAAAAGTGGTTGCTCCGAGAAAACAAGTCCTTAATTTCCATCTTCATTTCAATGATAGCTACAAGTTGGGCTATCGGCATAGGATTCCTTGTGATGAATACTTTCCAAAGCCTTCTTGTATCGAAGCTAACCTTAAGAAAAGCCAAGCCTGTAGCTGATACGATGATGGATTTCGTGAAAAGAAAAAATGCTATAGGCATTGCGCCGGTGGAAATAATGCTGCAGGATATCCTTTCAGTAAGACTTCTTCCCCTTTTTATAATAATAATAATAATAATAATAATAATAATAATGGAAATGCTAAAAAAATTAATTAACTTTTAGCTCCAACAATCATTATTAAATAATATGTGTCAGAATTGTCAAGCCAGCCCGTATCTTGTTCGATAGTTTGTGCGGTACTCTACTTTGCTTTTAGCATTTTAGTAATAAATTTAGCCATAGCCTGGATTATCCCCTAGGTCTTTTTAAAAATTTAAAACCGACCCCTAATAACTTTGAGGGGCAGGAAAGGAAATTTTCAGGTTTACAAGAAATTACGACAATTTTTTTACTTTTTCCACTATCTCTTTTTTAACAATGAAATTTTTTGCGACAATTACACATATTTTGTCCAAGACGCGAGAAAAAAATGACCACTTCTGGTGGTTAGTGTCAGTGACTTAAAGTTCCTATCAGAAGATAATATACATCTTCGGTAGTAGCCTTAACTTTAGAGATATTTCTTTTTGTGTCAGGTCTTTCTACCGAGGCGAAATGCAGAGGAAGCATAGTAACAATTCCATGCGAACTCCTAGAGAACTACTTGATTTCAGCTTCGGGAAATCCTACAGTGCATAGTTCTATCTTAATAATCATCAGAATTGGTGTCAGTGGATAAATCGCATACAACCACTTTTAATGGGGCTTCAGATTTAGTCGTGAATATATTGAATTAAACCTAATTTTTCATCAAAAGCCAAGTGCTTGCACACGTTCAACATTTGATACAAAGAAAAGAGTAATTTTATTTTTCGTCAGCGCGCCAATATAGTGATTTATTCAATTTTGGGAAAATAAACTGCTCAGGTCTTTTCATGTGACTTCCAGTTTTTGACGTATAAATTATTGAAATATATAATTTTGATATTTGATATATAAATTATTGAAATTTTTATTTGTAATAATTTAACTTTATTTTATAATTAATTGCTTTCCTTTCTCTCTTCATTAATCTTATTTTTCAGTTTACAATTTTTATTAGTTTTTCGTGTTTTGCGTTTTTTATTTTTATTTGCAATTTGAATCATTGTTACTTTCTGCATACTATTAAAAGTCTTCTGTTTAATATTACTATTATTATTATTGTCATCATCATCATCATTATCATCATTATTATTATTATATTTAAAATTTATTTAAAAAGTAAAAAGTAAAGTGGCTGAAAAATAAAGACACTGAAAGTTTGTAAATTAATTGTGTTTGTTATGAGATTGATTACGGTCTCCTATTGGATACAAATCACGTCATCTGCTTTAACTTTTAGCTTTAGTAACTCAGAGCAACTTAAATACAAAACCTTCCTGTATAGTCGAAATGTTATCAGGCGACATGTCTCCTAGGGGTATTTGTTCGAAAATATGTCTCCTAGTGAGGACGGGGCTGTATGTTGGTAGAGGGTGGTAGAAGGCAAGAAAGAAACAGCCTTTCACGGAAAGCAGGTGTTGAACATCCTTGGATTATTCTTTCATCAAAATTCTCATTTGTGGTAATATTGCTGTTTCATATCAATTGTTTTTTATAAATGAGACATGGCTTTATCAAAGTGGATACGTCTGTGACTCTAACTGGTGAACATGTGTACGGAACATAGCACTTTTAAATGTTATCTCTTGCTCAAAGTAGACATTCAGATGACGTATTGTACCATCTATATTCCACCGAAATAATACCAGGCACAGAAAAATGTTTTAAGCAAACCGTTTCTATTAGATCTTAAAAGTAGCAATTAAAACAGTTATTACCACACGAGCTTTTAATATTTGTCTTATGTTAATTCCGTTACTTACAGAATTAACATAACGACAAATATTAAAAGTAAAACTCATGTATTTGGCAAAGTTCGCCTCTAAGTTGACGCTCAGACCCTTGACTCATACCAGCAAGCATGGATGATTCAATTAATTTCAATGGCTGATTAAATTAAATTTAGAAGCTGGGCAAAATAGTATTGAGACAGTCAGTGATTGCTTCCAAAAGCTCTTTCTCAAATTTAAGAATTCTGTTTATATATACATTAACTAATTTGCAACCTGGTGGAAATCAACGAAAACAAAATTTGTATTAAATGCAAAATAGTAAGTAAATAATAAACATAAAATTCTACACATGGAGCTTTGTTATGCATCTTGCGAAAATAGTTGCCTGGTGTGCCATGAATCATCGAGTCCTGTTATTTAAAACAACCATAGACGGAGACATACTAAGACAATCTATCTAGAAGACCATTGATTTATAGCGAGAGAAAAAGCACCATGGCTGGCAGAATGTAGCAAGACAGTATGAAATATCGTACAACATATTTTACCATAAAGACGCTGGAAAAGTGTTTTAGAGACAGAGTTGTATCTAATGGCAATGAACAGCAATATAATTATCTCTTATCAATCAAAACTACAGTTCATTGGGGGGGGTGCTTAAAACAAATTAACATCCTCCTTCAATGAACTGTAGTTAAATGTTTTAAATTCGTTTCAACTTTTAGAAAGCATATATCTTGGTAAAATTAAAAGCTTTAATTTCCCCAAGATATATGCCTTGGAAAAGTTGCAAACTAACATCACTCCCGCGAATTATAAAACAGATAAGGAAAGGTTTTATAATGTGACAAGTCACATTCACTGAACTAAAGTGATGTCATTTCCAAATAATACTGTGGGAAAGGCATGTCTTATAAATATGTACACTTACATATGTTTCCGAAGAGTCCAATTGGAAACCGAACACGCTAAATATGCAAAGATGTAAATATTTTTTTCCCCTCCCTTGAAGTTAATGAATATAATGTGTTCTGTGCCTCATATGTTATGAAATATTTACAATATTTTGACTGACTTTTTTAACAGAATTCTAGTATACCAGTTTACGAAAAGGCCTGGGAGAAAATAGCACCGAACTTATTACCAGCAAAAGAAGTGTTTCAACCCCAGGTGCTCTTGGATGTAGAAGCTGGAAAATATTGTATTTTTCATGGCCATCTTATTCTCAAGAATGTATTGCGAGGGTTCTTTCAGAAAAGAACTACGTGTAACTTTCATCTCTCAGAAAAGTATTTCTATCCGTTTTCATTACCGATTATTATGAGTAACAAACTGCCAAGATCATTTCATGAGGAATTCAACAGGAAGTAAGTGCATTTTCAGAACTGCTTTAAAATTAGATACTGAGAAGTAGAAGCTTGCAAATTTCAGTAATTGTAAGAAGTTATAATTATGTTAATCAAGCGTAAGATTAAATTTGAAAATAAAGTACAAAATGTTTACTAAATAAACTGCTCCAAACAATTATTCGTAATTCGTAAAACTGTATTTCTGTTATAAATTAGTAATGGTATACTGTTTACAGTCTACACATGAGGTGCAAATTAATATGAGCATAATACTCGTATTAATCCTCCTGCAGAGCAATATCTAATTCCGAAAGTGTAATTGTAGATGGAATTAGAATACGTAGTTTGCACTCCAAGTAATTTATTTAACTAATTTATTTTCCACTTGTTTATTCATTCATTTCTCTTAGTACCTTACCTTTAAGAGTTAAAACTTCACACTTTCCTATCAAATCAAATTATTCACCCTAGCGTATTTGAGTAAGGGCTTTGTTATATCTGGTAGAAATTAGGCACTGCTCGTTATATGTTTGCATTAGGATAGTTTTAATTATAGTTTTCGGAAGTTTATCTTAATGCTATTTAAGCTTCCTTTAAGAATGGGCCTTGATGAATATATTATTATTATAATATATCACATTTATGTATTTCGTTTCTTTTTCAGATTTACACGTCTGGTAGATGCAGATATATCCGGTAAATGGTTAAAAGCTGATCAGCAGATAGCATCTTTATGTACTAGCTACAGTGAAAATGATTTATATGCTCTGGGTTTACAGCATATCTATGGAGTACTTCTTTTATGGGCAGCTGGATTATTTATTTCTTTCATTGCCCTGATCTGCGAAATTATGCACAAAAGGCAAGAATTGAAATTGCAGAATAAATTTTCATAAGTAAAAAGAAACGCTTCAGAATGTGTAAAGTCCATTTTGATGAAACTCACAATGTAAAAAGGAAGTTTATGATATAAATGCATTTAATAGAGTAGAAAATTAATAATGTGTCCTTTGAAATCCATTCATTACGATCAGGCATTTATTTTAATAATGGTTGTTAAGGTAAGAAAATGAATAAAGATGAATTTAGTTTTATGTTAATATATGCAAATATAATTAAACAACAAATACTTTAATGAGCAGCAGCTGTGGACATATGTTTTGCAATGAAAAGAAAATAATAACAATTTTTGAAGACAGAAACAAGGAATTTTTTTTAATTTACATACAGTTCTCTATTTTTGTTCATAGTTTGCTTTCTGGTTTAAACATTATCATAAAGAACAATGAGATTTTAGATACTCTCCTCGTAGATTTCTGCCGTGTATCATAATAGCCTGTTATTGCGGGTTCTTCACTTCTCCATCAATTATTTGCGTTTCCCCATGTTCCACTAGTTCAAATCTCTTGTTTGCAAGAGTTTGGGTTTTAATTTTTTGCATCAAGTTGTCTGTGATTACAAATGACAAGTTATCACGCATTTTCCGAACTTGTTTAAACAATCAATCTCATTCAATTTCAAATTTATTTGTCATTCGGTGCACCGCAACCTTATATTTAACATATCTGGCAACGGATATCAACAACTTTTACATTTATTGCTGGTTAAGTACAAGATAACTGACCGTATTTCACAGTCGGCAGGACGCTTGATTTTCTTTGAAATTTTAATCATACACTGCGCAGCGTGCAGACTGCCGTTGTAAGTGCAAATGGCTTCGGATCCTTCGCAAAAAAACTCCCAGGGATTTGAACGTGCTTTTATTCTCACGCACTTGCACTATTTCAAACGTACACATAAAGTCACAAATGGACGCTGTTTAAAATAAACTACATAATAAAAGTGGCTCGTTGTTGTTGTTGTTGCTAATGCTCACTTGTCTGATCTATAGTCAGCCCACGCTTTCGTGGCAAGGAGGGTAAGTTTACGCCTGCCGTTGGCAACAACCTTGAGCACCTTATACGTGAAGTGCGATTTAGCTCAGTTCCTGCCCCCCCCCAATTTTGATGGAGAGCACTCGGGGGACCAGTCCGAGAGTCTGCCCCCTCTTCCGCTACCTCTCGAGAGGACTTTCGGCTCGCCACATTTTAGAGCGTCCCCATGCAGCACGGACACTATACATTTACAAACATCCATGCCTTCTCCGGGTTGCGAACCCGGGCTCTTCGGCACGGCAATCAGCGACGCTATTATATCGGTTGGGTGGCTATAGTGGCTCGTAAACATACCAACAGTGACTTCATGCCTGCTCATTTGAATCGGAACTCCGATAACATTAGTGATAAATTGTGCAGTCATGTAACAAAACAAATACCGTCTACATGTCAATTAGAGCATAACTGGCCGTAAACTGAAGTTGCGCATAAGAATAGAAAGAACTTCCTCTACGTCGCACTAATCCGATCAATTCTTTTTTATGAAATTTCAGTTTGGGCAATAGCAGCCAAAAAGCATCGTATGAAAATCGGGATTTTTCAAAATAAATTTCTTAGAAACATTACCAACATTCTATGGTTTCTAAGAAGCTTTTCCGTTTAAATCAAGATCATGGTATCCTTCATACTCAGTATTACATGTTGATGACTGCACGTAATTTCCTTTATCATGAATTCTGATTATGCACGTTTTGTTAATCTAATGAATTAAATAAATTACGATCCAATAAATGAACGTTCCTTACAAGCAGCTGAGGTCGATTTTCCATATGGCAGCATACTACTACATTTATATAGTTTGAAAAGTCTTATACAAGTATTTTCTAAAATGATTTTAGTTAGCCTGTAAAAGCAGTTATGGACTTTATATTCTAGGCCAAAAGGTATTAGGACATTGCTACATTTATTTTCATCGTGCATTTTTCACGTATCTTGTTTACCGTGTTTCACGTGTATTGACTATGTTTTGTATTTGTGTTTTATATTTGTACCATTATTGATTGAAAGTTTACTAGCTCCTACTGCATTGGCGTAGTCACCAGGGTGTAGGGAGGTGCATTTCCATCCCCTTAAACAAATGTAATTTTTTTCTGTTCAAATGTTAACCAGCAAAAGCTTCCGAAAATTGATTTTCTTTCTTTCTTTCTTTCTTTACTTTTGGACAGACAATCTTTTCCTGACCTCACAGTTTGTCATGCAAATAGCCAGCAGTCGTCTCTTGATATCGAAATAACCTTTTATATAGGCTCATCTTAAAAGATACAAATGAATAGTGAGTAACTGGTTGTTATTTCAGGAGTTTTTCTGTTGACAGTATTGGATTTTTGTCTTGTGACAAATAAGTATGTTATTTCCTAAACACCTCTGGGGCAAAGGGTCAAGGGAAGCTTCCTTGAGGAAATTACGGTCTATGCCATTTTTGAGTCTCAGATCCCTTTGTTAAGAAGAATGAGAAAAGAAATTGTTTACGATAATCTGACTGCGGATTCTGGTAAAGCACTTAGCGTTAAATAGTTATAAACAACATATGCTGCAGAGTTCTATAACTCGTTGAGTCTATCGAAAAGCACTGGCTCAAATGGAGCTTAAATGTTTTCGTCAACTAGTAAGAATATAAAAATAGTCATATATATATAATAGTCATAGGTAAGTCATATAATAATCATATATAAGTCGTTGATCTAACCGTGATTCTCAACTTTCCACGTTTGTATTTGCTTTCAACATTCCCCCTTCTTATTATGTTAGGAATAAAAAGATAATGTCCCTTTGGAATGGTGGTTATGGTTTCACAAAAGTTCCATTATGGAAACATAAACAAAATTTAGTGCTCTATAATTGAGGTTTTAATTTTTCAGTCAATCAGTCTCAAACCAGCTTCATCAAATGACTCAGAACAGTTTAGCATAATTACTGACTTTTAGCTCTGTAAATATATGACGGATATCAGAAATGTTTTAAAATTTTTGTATCTTATTGCTTCCTAAAATATTCCCTATTAACAAATGGCTAGACATATGCAAATTGCAATCTATATATGTCATAATAAAAGCACAAGGAAAAGCCGGAGCAGTGTCGATGCGTACCTAGATCCATATTGAAGAAGAAATTTTGATTGCGTAGTATTTAAAGAACTTGGCAGTTGAGGCTGTTTTAATTCCATTTTTATTTTTGATATTGTTGAGAAGGAAAGCAAGCCAGCGAAATTACATCTTAGCACAGTAGAGAGCAAAAGCTGAAGTGCGTAGTCATGCAAGATGGAGGCACGCGAAGAGAAAAGTTTTGGTTTACATTCGGTGTTGGTCAGTTCTTTAATTATTACGTATCAGATTGCGTAAGGCCATGATTAATTTGAATGACGCAATGCAGAGAAGTTATTACGATTTTAGAATAGAGAGGAAGAATTAATGTTTTTAGTTATATTATAATTCTGATTCATATTAATTTTTATCTTACATATTCCCCCCTTCAAAAAGAAAAAGGCGTAGCGACAGAGAAGCCTTTTTAAAGAGAAAGAGTTAAAGCACTAGCAAATTAAAAAAAAATATATAAAATAAATAATAAAAATTTTGATCCTGTAAAGTATTATTTAATAATATCAATTTTTTTTAAAAATAGATTCTTAATTTTTAGAGTCCTATTGAATTTTTCAGCATTTCAGTCCAAAAGTCGTTTTGTTTGAGAGTTCACATGAATCATAATTCATCAGGGAAGGTTTTTGTTATCACAGAATATCACAAAATAAACTTTTGCATAATCATTACTTATAATTAAATGCACATAAATATTTATGATATTTAATTTTCATATTGATAAATTATATTTTAATACCATATATAATAGGATTAAGATTTTCAGAATTTATGGTTTCACCGTTATCATCTTTCATTTACAATTCCTGATTTTACCAAACTGGAAGGCCTCGCAATACTTCTAAAACAAACATATCCATCAATAGGGCTGTCCTCTTGAGCTAACCAGTGTGTTCTCTGCACTGGTGGCCCAGGGTGCCTAGACAGTTACTTGAAAAGGCCTCCGTTTCTTGCATTTAAGGTAACTGGCCTTTGAGAACTGCACTAATACATTCCATAATAAAAAATATAATAATAATAATATAAAAAATTACATGCACTCATAAAATGAGAGCCTCCAACATTATCTTGCATGAAGAGGGTAAAAGGAACAACTGTACAGAGGTAATTACAGGCCTCTGTTGAAGGAACCAGTACACCCTCATCATACTATACTTAACACACAATAACCCATAAATTTTAACATGCATTTACCATAACTTCATATTACATATCTGTAATAATTTCACTTATTTTTTACACCTACTTCATTTTTAGAATAATTATAAAATTCGTATTCAAAATTCTCAACAAAATTTCAAAAACATAAAAACTTATCTTAATATCCTTCCCTATGAATAATTTAAATAGCTTAAAATTCGTTACTTAATTTGCTCACACATAATTATGAAAAATTAGAAAAATTAATGAACAAGAATTTCAGATTTTCTCAAAACAAACTGCAGAAATTTTAACCAAAGTTGAAATGAAAACTATAGAATCCGCAGCACATTAAATGATTTAGTTCCTGAGCTTAGATTCACACGAATGTAATAAATTTTTGAGCTGTTGAAAAAGTGGAAGTGCAAATAATTTTCTGTCGCACATACTTGCAAACACTAACTCAGATCGACCTTGAACCCGCTGTAATGCTTAATTCCTAAAACGGTAATTCACTGATGATTTCCTTTTCACTAGGCATTCGAACAACTTCTCAATTTATCGAGAGATTACTTTCAATCTGTAAACACTACGCGTGATTATTTTTTTGAAGCACTTGCAAAACACCACAGCAGAAGAATGATCTGTTATTTTTCAAACACTGAAAAAACAAATTTGATGATTCACTTCTTTCCCATTATCTTGGATTTATCACAAAACGATGATTTGAAGAGCTGAATTAAATTTTCCATTGAGGTTTCAGGCTGCAGGAAACTATCCTGCCGGCTTAATTGTCATAATATAAGCAAAGAAAAAGACG